GTGTCTCATTGTAAAATACACATGTATTATGGATTTTATTTGACAAAGCACAACTTATAACATTGATCTTTACTGAATATAGCAAAGAGTTACGTCTGACCATAACCATTCTGACCCTCAAAAACAAATCCATTCAATTATATTGATGATTTCTTGAGGGCCAAGCTTTTGACACGCATTGCATGAAGGCAGAACATGGATGAAGGGGATTAATGATCCTTCAGAACAAAGAAGTAACAACGTAAAACACTTTGTAATGATCAAAAGGGTCAATTATACCGCGTACAAGCCACTTTAACTCAGTGTTAAGGTTGTATTGAGCTGACAGCTGTTACTGTGAGCGTGAATTCTGTGCTATAATGAACTCAATTGCAATTGGGTCACATCTTCAACGACGGAGAACAAACTGATGAACTACAAGCCAAAAAATCTGAGCTTATCATAAACAGCAAGATTAGTTAGATGGTCTGCATCAAAACAGAAAGATCTTCAGACTTTAATCTTTTCTTTGCTGAGCAAAAAAAAAAAAGAAGGTTAAAGCAGATTTTTAAATAGAAATTGAATTTCTGAAACACCTTTCTAGCCAGCCATGACACTCAAAGTGCTTCACAACACATCCATCCATCCATCCATCCATCCATCCATCCATCCATCCATCCATCCATCCATCCATCCGTTTACGGCCATACCACCCTGAACGCAGCGGCTCTCGTCTGATCTCAGAAGCTAAGCTGGGTCGGGCCTGGTTAATTCTTGGATGGGAGACCACCTGGGAATACCAGGTGCCGTATGCTCAGGTGGGTCGAGATAGTGTAGAGCATATGTGTCAAACTCAAGGCCCGGGGGCCAAATGTGGCCCTCGTTGACATCTTGTCTGGCCCCCAAGATGTTATTTTAAATGTCAAATACTTTTATCACTTTCATTTTTTCAATAATCTTTGATTATGATGTCAAAAGTGCAGCCGAAAACGTCTAATGAGACCAATCAAACTCTTGTTGAGGAACCTGCAACCAAGGAAAGATGTTGGGTATCTAACTTGAGTTGGTGTAGATTCTGAAACCAGCACTTAGTTTGAAAAAGGTTTTAATTTTGGCCCTCTTTTGTAATTGAGTTTGACACCCCTGGTGTAGAGGTAGGGCAGCTGACTTGGGACCAGAAAGTTGCAGCTTCGACTCCTCACCATGCCCACATGCTGTGGTGTCCTTGAGCAAGACAACAAATACCTAACTCCTCCCCGGGTTATACATAGCTGCTCGCTGCTCCACCTGGGTGTACCTCAGGTGTGATGGGTTAAATGCAGAGAACTAATGACATCATTGTATGGAAACACAGATAGCATAAAGAAGTAAAAACAATTGACGTGATTTCATACTGGTGGAATTGAACCTTCAACTCTCTTGTTGGAGGATGAATGCTCTAACCACTGAGCCACAGCAACCTACTTTAACTGCTCTTTAGTATATAAATAACATGAAAAGACAGTTTGCCAACTCCGTGACATTTCATAGATGTAGCTGCAGCAACACACCAAAATGAAAGTTGGTTTCTAACATAGTTTTCAAGTTTGGTGCTCACATGCACAGACGGAGGGTATTTCCAATCTCTCCTCTTCACTCCGCGATGGGGGACAACAAAGCCCCGAGTCCTCTGAAAACAACACCGAAGCTCGAGTCACGGGACATTACGGACCACAGCTGGTTAGCTAAACAAATACGAGAGAATCAGACGTGTTGGATACGTCAGAGAAGACGTTCAGGTGGAAATATAAGAAGGAACATGCTGCTGAACGTGACGACAGCTGTGGAGACACATCAGGGTGGAGACGTGTCAGAGGACTGACAACTTTATGGTTTGAACCCAACCCATTTTAAAATCTGCATATGTCACTCAAATCTAACATCGTCCATGGACATCTCCACTATGGACATCATTTTCAGCCACTTCAGCTGTTTCTGATGCTGAACTAACATACACGATCATTGTCAGCCAACAGCTAACTTTGGTTACAAGTTTTTAATCTGAGGATTATAAATCCTGATTTGTTTCTTAATTTTTTTATACTGGTTTTCCTATTGCAGTCAGTTGCGTGGGACGTTTGTTTTCAGAGGGCCAAAAAAAATATTTAGAGCAACCTGAGTCTTTTTCCAGTTTCATGCTTGTGTAGCATAGTTAGCATGCTTGATAAATATATATATGTATATATATATATATATATATA